GGAAAGAAGCATTGACAACGTCCTAAATGCTATTCCACAAAGAACTCGTTACAAAAATCGTTGGGGAGTTCGTATATTTGAAGATTGGCAAAGTGGGCGAGAAAATAAAGCAGTCATGTGTGAGAGCAATCCTTTCAGCTTAGATTTGCAGAATTTGAAAAATTTGGAGACAGAATTGTATTCAATGACGGCAAGATCGTTAAACTTCTGGCTTATCAAATTTGTTCAAGAAGTTTGCGAAAAGGATGGCAAGCTATATCCCGGGCGTACAGTATACCAAATTATATGCTCGTTGAAACGACATCTAGACGAAAATGGCCGGGCTGAAGCTAACATGTTAAATGCTAACAATCACTGGTAGGTTGAATTTGTTCATTTTTAATTAATGGTTTAGTTTAATTTATTGTAATGTGAGCTTGTATATTACTCAGTTTCCAGACGTTCAGAAGAGTGCTGGATAGTGAAATGAAAGCCACCCACCGGGAAGGCGAATCGCTTGCGGTGAATCGTACAAGACGAGGGAAAGAAGCTATTACAGATGATGAAGAGGGTTTGCTGGGGTCAAAAGGCTTGCTGGGAGACAAAACTGCTCAAAGTTTGGTTTACACAATTTATTTCTATATCGGAAAATATTCGGATTAAGAGCATGTGAACACAGACAGTTAAGATTAAGCAACTTTTTCGACCTAGCAAAACAGCGTATAAATTCGAAAATGCACAATTGGTATTCATAAGCTTAATTCTATTATTATTATTATTATATTCTATATTTTAACAGGTTAACTTGTTCAGCTGTTGAGTTCAATGGCTGGTATCCTACAAGGACCTGTGTTTACAAATAATATACTAATATAAAAACTCCATTAGAAAAATGTCTCTATAAGAAGTCAAATTAAGTCAATATTCATAGTTCAAAGCTGTCTAAAAAATGTTTACATGCATATAAAAGTTATTTGTATCAATGCTTTAAATTTCGTTTAAAAATAACAACAAATTTTTCAGTTTTTAGTTCTTTCGGAAGTTTGTTAAACAACAAACTTCCTTGAAATTTGAAGGTCTTCCTTCCTACTTCAGTTTTTACTCTCGGAATAACGAGAGAGCAGCCATCTCCTCTTGTGTTCTTTCCATGTTCGAGAACTTTGAAATAGGTATGGTATTGTGGCGGAGATGCACATCGTATGGATTTATGCACATCTATCAGGATCTGCTCGTCAATGACATCGGCAATTTGTTTCCATTCTGTTGTCACTCCCTTAGGGGCACACGATACGCTTTCCTCGGTCCTGGATTGCCTGAACTTTGTCTATCTGGTTTGTCTTTTTTAATGAAAGAAGCTGGCCTTGAGATTAAGACAGCACACTGCCTTCGTGTCACAACAGCAACAAATTTGTTTCGTGCTGGCCATCAAGAAAAATTAATACGTGAACGAACTGGGCATGTTTCTTCTGCCTTATTTACGTATGAGAAGCCTAGTAATGATCAAGCAATGGCTGTATTCAAGTGTGTTGGCCCATCTGTATCAAAGGTTGTGTCGCTTGTTGACAACTGTTTTAACACACCCTCGAAGCCTAAGGAAGACGAAAAGTTTCAAATTTCCGATGAGGAACTTGATAAATTTTTGAGTGAAGTGGACTGGTCTAAAATTGATAAAGAGGTGCAGCGACGTACTGTACTATCGCAGAAAAGTTTGTTTTGTCGAAAAGTACATTGACTAACTGTTCCTTTATTATTTCGTTTGCCGGAAATAAGTAATACTAAGTCAATTGTATGTGTGTTATTGTTAGTGTGATTAAAAAAGCAACATATTTTGTTGTTTGAAGTGTGATTCTAAATACAGCTTACTGTATTTAGAAATAATTCTAAACATAGCAATTAAATATATTTGCATAATCTTTTGTTTACCCCTCAATTTCCCTATTGTTCAAAGCCCTTCCCACTTGAAGTAATTAAAGTCCTGCGGCCGGTTGTATAAAAAAGTGATTAAAGTTAACTATAATTAAGTGGAAACGTCATCCAATAAGAAGCGCCTATTTGAAAGTTAATCACTATTTAACTACAAAATAGTGATTAAAAAAGTGATTAAGAGTTTTATACAACCGGCCCCAGGTGTAGACGGGGTATCCAGATAGATACACGTGATGTAAATTACACCATGTCATTGGCCGAAATGTTATGAATATCTAATGATGTGTGAGAAAGTATCTTACTTATTTATTATATCGTATGTTAGCTTAGGAGAATAAATTTTATCTCAGAATATCTTAGGATAATCTATAGAGTATCTTTGTTTTCGTCAGGGCCGTACGTAGGATTTTTTCTCCATGGAACACGAATACCAATATACTGAAATAAGTACCCAAAAACTCAACGCATTCAAAATCATACAGAATGATACTGCTTCACAAGATTGTAATCTGGGAGAGGGGCACTTGCCCCTGCTGTCCCTCTACTCAGTGCGACTAGTTTTATCGTGAGTTTTCATCAAGTATATTAGCATGACCTGCAGTTCCTCAGGATATAATATAGGGGTTAAAAGGAAGGGAGATAAAGATAAGGACTTTAACTGATATAACTGATATGATCTTCTGTCATGCAGACTTTATTCACATTGGGAGAGAAAACGTAAAGAAACATGGCCAGAAATGTAAGACATGCGCCCGCACAAAGCCCGCGGATTTGCGCACAAAATTACAAAAGTTAAAAACAAGATGGCGTCGGGACGTAAGCATACAAAGCGTTCTTCAAATCTGTCTATTGATTATGAACAGCTGAACGAATTGTCATCAGTAACTTTGTATGATGGCGTACCTAAAGGAAAACGCTGTCGTCTACATGAAGTTGAACGAATACTTACACGCAGAAAAATACGACACGTAAGTGCTAAACATCATGAACTGAATTTTTAAAATGAAATATATTGCTTTTTTATACTATGGTCTATGGCAGTGATAGCACTCTAGCCAGAGTGCAAACAAAGCTATTATAGCATAATTTTTACAATTTGATATAGCACTCATCCTTTTGTCCACACACAGGGTCACGAATATCTTCTGAAATGGAAGGGATGGCCATTCCACTATTGCTCCTGGGAGCCATCTGAGCATTTGACCCCAAGTCTTTTGAGGTGGGTACTTTGGAATTTTTGGTAATTTATAGATATTTGTGTAGGATTATTGGAATCCGGTTTAATGATTAATGTAGTTTTATTTTATATTTGTCATGTATGATAGGAGTTACTTGAAGCCACCCAAACCTGACACTGCTAGGCTAGAAACTGCAAGCCGTGATTTTCTAATTGGCATTCAGACATTCTTGAAAGGAAAGTCAATGGCACCCGCATCCATCAATATGCATCTCGATGTGTGGCGTTTCATAACGTCCAACAGAGGCATACCATCACAGCATAAAGGTTGCACATTGTACCAAAAGGAAGACTTCAAACGTTTTGAGACTTTACCAACTGATTGGTACTACCTTCTAAATGAATTTGGGGAAGGCAAAGCTATTGATTTCCCAATCAAAGCAAGATACCGTATAAAGAAGTTTCGTGGTCTAAATTAAGGTAACAGCACACCAATGGCAAGCTACAAAAGTCACCAAGAGTACCTGTTGAAAAAATCTGTATTCATATTTTAAGGAGAGCATATGATATTTCTAATTTATAAATTTATAAAGTGCATATGTGTAATATAAATATTGTTATATGCTAGGGCTGGCTTCACCACTGCAAACTAGCTAGTCATGCTATGCTAATTTATCAGCAACTAAATATCATAAACACAATACATTTTCTATTAGGTTTGAATAATGTAAACATGACAAAATTTGCATAGCATGACCAAATGCTAGGGCTGGCTTTGCCACTGTTAGTAGAATTATTATTAAATTAATTGTATTCACAACAAGAGATACTGATTAGTGTTTTTGTGATTGCAAGGCAACAGTGTACATATCTAACAGCCTGCTTAGCTTTCTAGCGCGAGTTGTGATACCCATGTCCTTCAATCGCAACTTAAGAATCTCTGGCGTTAGTGAAGAGATGTCCTCTGGACCATCTGAAATATCTTCCTCATCACACAATCGCGGCCGCTTCCTTCGACTTTCCTTGATTCCATCCAACCAATAATTATCCGCCTTCTTCTTGTATGGTCTAGGTTCTCTTTCCAGATCGCTTAATACTTTCTTTCGCTCTTCAGCCATTAGAACATCCTTAGCTGCATCCCACTTATTAGATTTTTGGAGGAGGATTCTTCTTATATTATCATTCAGCTTCTCAACACCTACATAACCATCAATGCCAATAGTTGTATATACTTTTTCGATAACATATTCTTATCATGATAAAAATACCTCACTATAAGGAATGATAAAATATTACCTAACCTGGTTTATAATAGAAAATATACTGTTTTACCTTGTCCAGAAAACTGCTTTATTCCATTGTGCAGTTTCATAAAGCGAGGCACATGGTAAACCATTGCATGTATATATGGTGTGATGTTCACTTTGCCATACCCTTCTAGTGACTGACCAAGTGATAGGAATAAAGTCACCCAAGCGGTTACCTACACGATGAATCGGCATTTAAAATTTTCCCAGAAAGGATGTTTTTGTCGACGTCTGCATCTGTGGGTGTTTTCATGTTGATACAGTCGTTGTAGATGTGATGAAAATCCTATATTAAAGTAAACTAGAGGCATAAACCAAAGTAAACCAGAGGTGGGTTTCCCCAGAGAATTTTAGAATTTGAACCCTTGAAATGCTATTTCCTGCGTTTTCACCCTACAATTTTGCTGTACTGAGCCTAATTAGGAACATATATTTTTAAAGCCAAATGTTCTCAGAATGGGCCAATAATTTTGCCGGGGGGGGGGGGGTAGCCCTGCTTATATGTTCCTGCATATAAAGTTGTAAAAACTATACTGTCGGAATACTGCTGGATTATAAGTTTTATAACTTCATTGCATGTAGCAGGAGTGATGACACCATTCAGCTTTGCTGGCAACTTTTCAAGTAAAAGTTTCTTATCGGTACTCATAAGACTAGTGAAATCATAGATTCCACTTGCTCGACCATTGGCATCGGTTTTCTCCCAGACATTGAAAGAAATGCCACAACTCTGAATGGCATTCACCAAGTTGTCCAAATGTGTCGAAGTGTGATCACATGGTGCTGTGTTGTGATTGTCTGCCTTATCCCTGTTGAGCGCTTCAGTAAATAATTGTCAGTTAGCTTATCTGTCAAAAACAAAAAATATCTTTATGTAGGCTTATTTTATAGAGTTGCAGGATCAAGTGTTGGGGAGGGGCTAACTGGTTGTTGAGTGTGGAATTCAATGTCTATTTTTAAATTATGGTTGTACATTCACCTGTTACCCTTAGCATTAAGTGCAACTCATCAAGGACGACATTCTCAAGCGGAATATTTAACAGAGGTGGGCGGTCACATGAAAACTGCTTCTTTAGGCAGAACTGTCTGATGTCCTCTAACGTTCTTTTCATGTCTATCGTCCAATAGAAATCCTGAGGCTTTGTCATATCATGCCTATAATGGATATTGTTGTATATTAGTTGAAATAATCCAAATAATGGTAAATGATATGGGTCGATTGTGACACTGGTATGAGTTTTGTCAATAATTTGTGTGTTCTTCATTTGTAATATTTCATTCTGTACTGTACCGTAGCATCTTGTGGATTTACACCAGATACAGGCATAATCAGACACTGCTCCTTTCATCCCCATGAGTATTAAAAGAAACTTGGGGAGAAATGAAAAACATGTTAATTAAAAAAATTCTATTTATTGATTGGTAAAACTGATTACTCTCAAAATCCTTAAAACCAGGACTGCACCTTATAGTCTCAACCCAAATACATGTCAATTGGGACTTCATTTCCATCATCAAGCTGCAGCACACCAGTTTCCACAATTTTGTTGACATCGCAAAAAATGTTTCTACATGAGGATTTGAGTGTCTCATAGCACTCCTTTCCCTTTATTATAGCAAGGGTATAATTTCCTGGAATGTAAAATATCTAGGCTATGTTTAAATGTTAAAGCAAATCTCAGAGTCAAATTGACCCATTATGCTACAGCGCTCGGACTTTTCATTCAAAACAATTTTACTTGTCAAGAGAAGTTTATTGCATAGATGATTAATTAAACAGCAGTGATGGACACTGCACATTGAAGGTCAATGCCATCTTGGCCTGTGCGAACAGTCTATGTACACAGAAATTTAGAAATTTCTGTGTACATACACTGTTCGCAGTCTACTTCCATTTTACAAATTGGACAATAACATCATAGGGGTGTGCAATGAGATGCGGATAGGCTAACCTTTTGGAGACATCACAGCATCTCCAGAATTCAAAATTGAAAACGAGATGACTATAAAGCCAGTAAGCCTTGTCATTTTGGCACCATCCCCACTTAACTTTATGTTGTATCTCTCGGGAGGACTTAGACCATTTGCAGTGCAGGTTCTCATCTATAAAAAGAGTAAAAAAAATCTGGGTAAATAATTTCCCCTTCATTATATTGCAATATATGCAATGATACACAAACATGCAAAACATTATTTGTCATTCATCGATTAACTTACATGATTTTGGATTGCATTCCTGAGTGCATCATAAAAATTGACCTGGGCACCTTCATTTTCCCCTGGTGTTCGCTCGATGTGACACAACTGATTCAAGGAATCCTTGCACTGTTTAACCAGGTACGACCGAGGTAGGGTTTGACCTGCCGGGATCATGGTAAGCTCATGGTATGCTGCTTCACCCACACAAAACTTATCCTGGATCAAAAGAACTTCTTTAATTTTCTGCTTTTCAGCTTCTGGTAAATCTTTATAACTCTTTTTGGTTCCACCGGCTGTAAATTCCAGTTCATATTCAGCACCAGAATTGTCAGATAATTTTAAAGATTCCAAATGCAGTCCATATGTATTAGCAAACCAAAGAGTTCTCTCAACTTGTGTTTTGAGTTCTTTTATTTTCCGATGTTGTTGCCTTTTCCCCACATCTGCTACACATTTTCCAGTATTCTCACAATTGTCTGGGATTCCCATTTTCTCAATGTACTGTTTCAGTGCTTCATTCTTGTTTAACTCTTCCTGGTATCCCTTTGTCACACATTCCAGCTTTCGTTCAGTCTCTTTCTTGGCTCCTTGCAATGTACACAACTCTTTCGATAGTATCTCGCATTGCTCATTTAAATTGTATTTCTCTTTGGACAAGGTATCACAAACTGCCTTTGCACTTTCTAGCTCATTCTTCGCCTCAGACACCCTGGCAATTTCCTTCTCGTAAACAGAAATGCATTTTGATTTCGCCAAGTACTCTGTTCTTACACGGCCTCGCAACCTTTTGCTTTTGGTTTTTATCTCCCCACAATATCTACGTATTATACTATTAATTCTTTCGCAGTCTAGCTTTATCTCCAAGGCATTCTGCGATATAAATGCATTTAAAACTTCGACGTACGACAGGCCAGTTAACTTGCCATCATCTTGCTTCAAGTCATACAATTGTTCTAGGTACTCGTGGGGAATATTGACAGTCAAAACAATGTTTTCCTCTTCAGTAACAGCTTTCCGAGGATGATTAATGCAAGTTCTCGTTGAGAAAGAAATCTTTTGCTTTAATTTATGTAAATTGAATGCTTTCAGAACGGCAGACATAGTGTTTACATATTCATACTGTCAGATTTCCCGCCATCAGCGGAACCGGAAGTAAAACGCAAGCGCGATTTTTGGCTTAAGATTATTGGTCCAACCCCCCCTGTTTATAAATTCGAATAGAGAGGTTCCTAAGCTTCATTTTGATACCAAACATGGCCGAGTTTGGAAACGTTCGTTCTAAAAATCGGCGTTGATCATCTGATGAACATGAGTTTACAGTGAAAGTTGTCGCCATGAAACTACGCTTTCACAGCTTCAGATATTTGCGATTTTCATGACAAATTTGGAACATGTAAACGAAAGTGCATCTCCACGAAAGTTCTAGAGAATGTAGCAGTGTGTATGTTCTTTACGATGGAGAGTCTGCAAATGTTGCAAAGAACAAGAGAAATCTAGCCGGAGACGCGAAAACACCGCCAAATGGGCAAATTTAAACTAAATAATATACTTTCTACTAGTGAAAATTTCGCTGGAATCGATTTTAAAATGGAACATCTTAAAGGTAAGATATGCATGAAATAATTATGGAATATAAACACGACGGCTCTAGCAAAGCGAATCCGGAGTCTGCAACTTTGTAATAGCAGATACAAATAGCTTTACTTTAAGATTTTTCTTCACAATGCTATCATTTCTATACAAAACTGGCGGCCATGTTTTTGTGAATTTTCCGAGCATGCTCAGTAGCAATGTCCAACATTTCTGGCCATGCAGCTTTTGACATTTTGTAGTAGTTTTGATATGAACAATTAATCCCATGGGGGTGGGGGTAACATAGCCGGTCCACAAGGGTTACATAGCTGGTCCAAAGTCTTCGGGGTTTTGGCAGGCATCGCCACTATTAACTTTTTTGCCTGCAAGAAATTTTGCCCGATAATCGAAAGACGATGCCTGCGGAGGAGGCTAGACCGTACAGTTTATATTGTTTTTCGAAATATAAGATATTGAAGCAAAAGTTTAAATGTTTTAAATACTGTTTTCTCAAGACAGAACATTTCGTGCTTTGAGATAAGATGGCCAAAACCAATTTGATCAGTTAATGTGTTTTTTATCCATAGTTTAGCAGTTGACATATATAGAGCTCAGCGGAATAATATAAATTATAGCATCTGACCAATGAGAATTTCGCGTCACGATTTGAGACGCAGATATTCAAATTCATTAGCCATCGATGCAGGCTCTCAATTCAGCTTGAGAGCCTGTTCGCAGGCTA